TCAGAGAGAGCTGTGAAAAGGCTGTGAGAAGAGAGCAGCCTGTCAGACAAGTGCAAAGACCTGCAAGGAGGCCAATGTGGCTGGCGTGGAGTGAGCAAGGGGGAAGACCAGAGAAAAGCAGAAGGCCGCTGGTGCAGCCACTGTGGAGAACAGCATGGAGGTTTCCTAAAAACCAAAAATACAGCTGCCATATGATCCAGCAGTCCCACTCCTGGGCACATACCTGGAAAAGATGAAAACTCTAGTTCGAAAAGATACATGCACCCCACTGTTCATAGCAGCACTATTTATAATAGTCAGCTCATGGAAGCACACTAAGTGTCCATCGACAGATGAATGGATAAAGAAGATGTGGTGTGTATATACGATGGAATATTACTCAGCCATAAAAAAGAATGAAATCATGCCATTTGCAGCAACATGGATGGACCTAAAGATGATCACACAAAGTGCAGTAAATCAGAGAAAGACAAATATTTTATGATATTACTTATATGTGGAATCTAAAAAGATGAACTTATTTACAAAACAGAAAGACTCACAGACATAGAAAACAAACTTATAGTTACCAAAGGAAAAAGGGTGGGGGTATAAATTAGGAATTTGAGATTAACAGATACACACTACTACATATAAAAGATAACAAGGACCTACAAAAGATAACAAGGACCTACTGTTGTACAACAAGGAACTATACTCAGTATCCTGTAATAACCTATAAAGCAAAAGAATCTGAGAAGGGATATATATATGTACACATATATGTATATATATATATGTTATAACTGAACCACTCTGCTGTACACCTGAAACATTGAAAATCAACTATACTTCAATTTAAAAAAAAAAAAAAAAAAATAGAAGGCCAGTTCAGCCAGGCCATGTGGGGCTGTGGAAGCCTTGGTAAGGAAGGAATCTGGATTTTACACTCAGTGAAATATAAAGTTCTGAAAAGAATAGTGAAATGGTTTGATCTTGTGTGTTGAAAGAATTACCCTGGCTACTCTGCTGAGGATAACATACAGGGCCACAAGGGTAGAAACGGGATGACCTGTTAGGAGGTGAACCCAAGATTCCAGCAAGGCTTTGTGGTGGCTTCACCCAGGGTGGGAGCAACGGAGACAGTGACAAGCAGTCAGATGCTGGATGTATTGTGAAGGTACAGTGAACAAGATTTCCTGATGAACTGGATATGGATAACGAGAGAAGTCAAGGATGACTCCAAGGTTTCTCAACTGAGAAAATGGAAGGACAGAGCCGTCATCAATTGAGATGGAGAAAGCTGCGGCGGGGGACAGGTTGGAAGGAAAGAAAAGCAGTTTGAGACATGCTAAGTTTGAGACATTCAAGTAAAGGTATTAAAAAGGCAACTTTTATATTAACCTAGTTTACATGAGAGGTCTCTGCTGGAGATACAAACTCGAAACTGTCAGCACACAGCTGGTATTCAAAGCTGGACTGGTTGAGATCACTGAGAGAGTGAACGTAGATGAAGGGAAGGAGACCATCAGGAGGTTGGGGAGAAAAGGAGCCAGCAAAGGAAGCACAGAGGAAATAGTGAGGCAGGGAAAAACCAAGTGTGGCATCCCCAAAGGCGAGCTTAAAAGACATTACAGAGGAGTCTCAAAGCCAGTGGTAGGTCAAACAAGATGCACAACATTGGCGACCTTGAAAGCATTCTCGGTGGAGGGGTGAGGGTGAGAGCCTGGCTGGGGTGGGTATAAGAAACTGAAGAGAAGAACTAGAGATAAAACTGTTGGCAACTCTCTGCAAGTTTTGCTGCAAAACGAAGTGAAAACCTAGGGTTGGAGGTGATGGGGAAAGTAAGGTAAAAAAATTTGTTAAGGTTTTCTTTGGTTTATTTTTGTTTTTTAAGGTGGGAGCAGTGTTTACATGCTGACGAACTGTTCATTTGTTTTTGCGTATCTGTATACTGATGGTAAAAAGTGTATGAGAGCGAGGGCAGAACTCTTGGAACTTTAGCACTTAGCACGCAAGAGGGGGCCAGGTCTACTATGGTAATGGGATTGGCTTGTGTATGTGACAAATTTTTTAATGGTAACAGTCCAGAAGACAAAGTGTACGATATTCAAGTGGTGGTGTGAGTATGCAAGTGTGTGAAATTTGTTTTCAAAATAAGCCATTCTATTATCTGCCACTATTACGTAGAGATTATATAGGTATCTATAGACTTAATCACAAGGTCTTCTTCTCTCACTACCAAAAACTATGGCAGTGTCTTCCTTTGGTAAGTGCATTACTACTGGTAATGTAACTTAATAGGTCTCTATATGCTGATGAGACCTTGGCACACTCTGGTCATATACAGGCTTTGTGCCTGTAACATGCCAGCTAGTCGGGTCTCTAAGGCAAGGTAGTTAAAAGGACAGGGAAAGGGAAGAGTCAAAGAAAGTAAGTTAAGAAAATTTTCTGGATGAGTGCCAAGTCCCCTCACCAAGTACTGGGTTGGCTAAAAAGTTCGTTCGGGTTTTTCCGTAACAGAAAATACAAGGGAAAAGGGGGACTTTGCCAGGTGTATTTACAACCTGCTTACTAGAACCCCATTACTACTCTGGAAACTTCCAAATATATGAGAATCCCATAAACCATGAAGAAATACATAAAGTGTAAAGTATTATTAATAGTGATAGTAATAAAAAGCTTACGGGATTCAAGGGATATTATAATTTCAGTAATGGATTTAAACGTTAATCCTGGGTTAAGAAGATCTCTTTCAGGACTAAAACTGCTCTCTTTCTGTGCTCTTGGCATGTGGTTCCTCCCCTCCCCCGATAATCAAAACCTACTTTAGGTTTCTTTAAATTTAAACTCCACTGTATCTTCCTAACACTACAGAATTGTCTAATTAAAAACCAAATCAATATTTCAGTATGTAAAAACCCAAAAGCTCCATATAGACCATAGGATTATCATCAGAAATTTTAAAAAATGAACTGCCAGCTACTATATCCTGAAAAAGATGCGCTATTACTCACTTTTAATCCAGCTGCATAGCCCACTGGTTGTGGGGCAATGCTGGACTGCCCAGCTTCCCCTATCACCACAGCTAAGCCAAAGACCTCCTGGAAGGCATCTCGGACAGCAGCAACTTTTACTTCTTTATTTGAGGTCACTACAATGTCCAGTTCACCTCCAGATTCTACAAAGACCAGAAGAAAATCTCAATTCCAAATTAAAATAATGAAATTCTCATAAGTACTACCATGCACTAACATTTTATTACATAATTACTCTTAACCTGGCAAAACAATGCAAGATATAGATTACCTTTTTTTTGGCTGAGGAAACTGAGGCTGATAAGGTCTCGGCCGAGGTAACACAGCTACTTAGCGATGATGTCAGGACTCAAATCTAGGTCTGTATCTTTTCACTACACTGCCTGATACAAGCAGATACATTTCACCCTGTCATCTAATGGCATCTTACTCTGAGATTTCTCAAGAAAGCTGTTTGTACTGTGATATATTTTGCCCTAGAAACAATGCTTTTCCTCAGTTAAGTGTCTCGTTGGAACAGCTGAAAATATTTTCCAAATATTTGGGCTTTTTATTATGGATTTCTTTTTTCCTGATTGAAACAATGTTCCACAGATCCCATCTTTACTGGAATTTCTTAAATTATTAAAACCTAAAAGCAAGGGTTACCATAGGAAAGAAGAGGAAGACTATATGTTGTTCTTTTTTTTTTCTCCATGTGGGACATATCTCTTAACCCTATCTAGCTAAGTACTGTTCCACTAGGCTTCAGCTCAAAAAGCTTTTCAGTTTTTTGTGATGACTCATGCCACTTTTAATGATTATAAAGGGAGAGCTAATCAAAAAAATGTTGAAACTGTGTTAAAGTCCATTTCTAATAGTTCTTGTGCTTTCTTGATACATTTGAAATTGTTATGGTGATTTCTAAAATATTTATATAAAAACATGGTAAGTTTTACTAGAGTTTTGTTAGATCCAAATGGTCTCGTTTTTGCTGCCTGTCAATAGGTTTTTCACACTCAGTATTATTGCTTTTTATAGGTGATGAAGATTATATGTTATTATATCTTCTAATAATAGAAATTTCATTTTGTATCTTTCTCTCCCCGTTTTATTCTCCTTTTTCTGGACGTCATGCAGAGTACTGGCCTGAGAAAAGTCTTTGGTTTGAGTCCTGATTTTATCACTTACTAGCTTCGGTACCTTGGGGAAGTCACTGAGCTTGTTTCCTCACAGAAAAATTCCTGCCACCTCACAGGGCTTGCTCTAAGGATTAAATAAGGTAATTGATTTCACCATCTAACACACTACCCATTAAAACAACAAGAGCTCCAAAAATACTAATTCCTTTCTTTTTCTCACTAAAAATAAGAGCTTGTGAAGAGAAGAACATATATACTGCATTAATTATGTCAAACTTGATTATTATGAATATATGAAATCAGTATATATGGTAGGGTCCAATTTCTAAACCCTGGCAATTACAAACACAGACTGAACAATTCAATTTTCCACTTAAAGGGAAGCAAAGTAGCTAAGTGTTAGCTCCACCAAGTTGTGTAACCTACGATAATAATAAAGCTCTCTGAACACAAGTTCCTCATCTAAAACTTGAGGAAAAAACACCTAGCTTGCAGAGCTCTTATGGGAATTAGTATCTGGCAAATCAAGCATTTAATAAATGGTACTTATCATTATTAGGTCTTGCCCTTTGACATTTACTAGACAATTACCAACAGACTCAAGACTTATGAAAGCTACTGACTTTTTACTGCTACTGAAAATCTCTGTTCAAGTACCTGGTGCATAGCTTTGGCCGCTAAATTGTGATCTTCAACAGAATTACTAATAATTGGTCACAAATCCTGCTAAGAGATTATGTTATTTCACTGACTGGATATGTACATAAAAAATTAATCCTCCAGTTAACCGTCTGGAGAATTCTTGGTAATGAGGGTTCAAAGGTGATTAAAGTAGCTTTCCCAACAAATCTAGTAATGACATATTATTAGTAAATAGATTAACAGCCTATAAAAATTTTATTCCTGAGTTACACATAAACACATTTAATTAAAATAGATAACTGGAGAAATGTCAAAACCAAATATGAACAAAGCAACACTTCAAATGTCAACAATGAACAGTAATATTCATATAAAGCAACACTAACCATATTCATAATTAAAATCAGTGAGTATACTAATAATTCAAATCATTTTTACTCCTCCAAAGTTCATGTTGGGAAGTTTTCAAAATTTATTTAATGGTGACTAAGAAAAAGATGAATTAAAAGCATCAAAACCAAGACTGACAATCAATGTAAGAATATAGGAGGATTTTCACTAATTACAAGACCTGTGGGATTACACTCAGTGGCTGACATGAGCACATACTTTATATGGCAGATGCTGCTCTATTTTAAGTACATACTGATATATGGAGCCATGCCAGGGTCCAGCGTTGTAATCATGCTTTCTACTGAATGTTTTGTTTTATCAAGCACAGATTTCACCATAGGGTTCCCAGCCACACCCTGCACAGAACAAATTCACATGTAAATACTCATTCTAAGCAAAGAACACCATGATTACCGGATGGTGAGGAAAAAAAATTTTAAGTTTCCAATGCATTGCAGACCTATACTTTTGTAAAATATAAGAAAATTAAGGTTATGGTAATGTCAAATTGATATGAAATTTCAAAATGCTTCCTCTCAATTTCTCTTCTCATCTCATCATAGACTGACAGCAATCTACTGACCCCACTTCGAGCAACACTGGCCTGGGAAGTATGTTTATTGTATATATATGTATGTGTGTATGTATACATGTTTATTTCATTTCTACGTATACCTGTATTTTTATTTCACTTCATTACTATTTATTTATTTATCTATATAAAAGACTAGGCAAAACTTGTCCATCAAGGTCTCAAATAAAGATTGTAACTGGATGTCTCTGAAGACTAATATTTTGTTCCCTAATATAAAAATAAAAACAGTAAAAACATTTATCTTTATTTCGCAGAACAGTTACTTATTACCTTAATATATAATACTCTGTTCTATGAAAGTTTCTTTTTTCCTACTTCCTATTTGTTTTGTTCCCAAATTCTCCCTTTTAATAAAACCAGACCTAGTCCTCTGAATTCCTAAAACCGCACTATTAGACAGAAGGAACCAGATCTGAGTATTTCCTTCCATGCTTCTCCCACAGTCGAAGAGACTTAGAGATGGCATCTGGCTAACAGGCCTTGATTCCACCTGTCCCAACCTACTATTAAACTAAGGTGATTCAGAAAAATAGATGAGTTCATAACACTGACATTTAAGACTGTCCACCCATCTTATGCTGAGAGTTATTTACAAGATCTGTAGGGTTGAACTGAGTATTACAACTGGTAACTGACATGCTGACACATGCTCTTAATGAGGAAAAGAAGTGACAGTCTCTACATAAAGAAGACCTTTAAAAAGCACAAAGTGATATAAAGAAGCTTAGAAAAATGCCATCTTTCTGATACATAAAACTCAAACGCTGTAAATCAGTTTAACCAGCTACCAATTTAAAAATATGTTTAGGGCTTCCCTGCTGGCGCAGTGGTTAAGAGTCCGCCTGCCAATGCAGGGGACGTGGGTTCGATCCCTGGTCCGGGAAGATCCCACATGCTGCGAAGCCATTGCAGTGAGAGGCACGTGCACCGCAATGAAGAGTGGCCCCCGCTCGCTGCAACTGGAGAGAGCCTGTGTGTAGCAGCGAAGATCCAACACAGCCAAAAATAAATAAATAAAATATAAATTTAAAAAAATAAATAAAAATAAAAATAAAAAAATGTTTAACATGTAATTAAATTGCAGCCAAACCCTCAGAATATTGAGGGGAACTTGACAAAGCGATTCTAAAATTCATTAAGAAAAATAAACAGAAAAGACCAGCAAAGAAAAATTTTGAAGAGAAAACAGCAAACTTACACTACCAAATGCTGATCTGCCTTTATGAATGCAGAGACTCAGAAGTGACTTTTCTATCTGACTCATCTATGAATACTCTTCATCCCCACCTCAGCACAGAGTAGGCTTTCAATAAATATTAGTGTAATAAATAAAGTTACAATAATTAAAATAGTGTGGTACTGTTGCAAGGACAGGGCAGTGAAATAAAATACAGAGCACAGAAACTGAGGTTAACACACAATTTAGTAACTAAGGTAAAGGTAACATATCAAATCACTGGGATATGATTTTGGAACAGTCGATTAAGTGGTTGGAAAAAAATTAAGTTTGACTTCTGCCTCATATAATATAGTAAAGTAAGTATCAGCTATATCAACTTGGTAAGCAAAAAAAATGAAACCACAAGAAAATTAGAAGAAATCATAAAAAAATAATTATCATATAATATAGTAGGTAAATGTCATTTTAAACATTTTTAAAAACTGATAGAAATGACTCCCCCAAATTTAGAAGGCTTTGTGTCAATAAAGCATAATAAAGTTGAAATGTAAGATAAAAATGGAGGCTACTGCAACATATGATAGCATATAATATTCTTCTTACATTAAGAGTTATCAATTCATTAAAAAAGAAAATCATCCCAATTCAAAACTGAGCAAAGAACATGAATATAGACTTCACAAAATAAAAATACAAATGGCCAAAAATCACATTAGAAAAAGTTCAAATTGAGTAACAAAGAAATGCAAATTTAAACAAGGTATTATTTTTCTGCCTATCAAATTAGAAAATACTATATTTCAATTAATAAAATCACTGCTGGCAAATGAATGATGTTCTGACAGTGTATCTTGGTATAACCTTCCTGGAGAGCAATATGTATCAGTAATTTTTAAAATGTCCACACTGACATTTACCAAGAATTAACTCTGATAAAACAGAGATGCACATAGAGATTGGCATACAAGAGTGCTCATCCTAATTTAATTAATAAGAATTACAATTAGAAAATGCCAATAACAGGTAAGTGAAATAAAACATGGGAAATAAATGCAATGACATGTTGGGCAAAGTAGCCTGAAGAATTATAGCTGGGAAGATGTTCACGATACACGCTAGGTAAAGACAACAAAATTGTGTCATGTGTCACTACTCCACTTTGCTAATCACTAAAAAAGAGACACATTTACATAGATATGCACATCCAAAAGACAGAGGAGCTATAGAAAAAGTGTAATAAGAATAAAAGGTATTTTAATCTTTCCTTACACCTCTTTGTATTTTCAAAATTCTCTCTAATGAATATCTGTTAGTTTTATAATTAAAAAATTAAACGTGATTTTTAAAGTAAACACCCCTTACCTTAATAAAACCCCAGAGTCCACCAGCAGATGCTTCATCCTGCCCTCTACCAATTCTAGGATCTTCCGGCTGCTCTGGAAAAGTTATGGCTGATGTGGTTCCAGTTCCCTGTGCCAGAGACGTCAAACCAGCTTGCTGAGTAATGGGAGTTGGCAAAATACCTAGTTAATGGCAAAAATGTTAATATATGTAATTTATTCCATAAACTATTTCCTATAAAAAGAAGATAGAAGAAAAAAAAAAAAAAGAAGATAGAACATATGAGATGAGTAGTTCAAAATAGCTTTAATAATGTAACTATATACTCAGGCATTTCAACACTGAGATATGAGCTCAAAGAATCACCTAAACCTTTAAAAAAATATACAAAATTCCAAAGAAGAAATTTCTTTCCCTCTTCATAAGCTTACACCAAGTGCCCTGAAAATGGACAGAAAATATACATCCAAAAGTACTTCATGTTTGCCCTATGAGCACTTGGATGCAGACAGCTATAGTCTGAATCTCTTTAAAGCATAAAAATAACTGATATGAGCACTCAAGCCCATCATACAAAAAGCATGTAAAAATTAGTAAACATATCCATATACCCTATTTTAACTCAAAAAAATATTCACATATACATACACATAGATGTCATACTTGTACTCTTGAAAAATTTTTATTTGTTAAGGCAGACAAGCCAAGTTGGATTATAAAATCACGACAAAATTGTTTCTTTTCCTAAAATGAGAAACAATAGGCAGAATATGACAGGATGAAGTTTTGATATTGATTTCCAATAACCATTCCAGGGAAGTCGAAAAAGTAGGTGTAACTGACCTAGAAAATAAAATAGTCCAATTCCACCAACTTATGGCACATACACTTGTTTTTGAACTCTTACCTGGCTAAATAAAACTACTCCCTGGACCATTCAGTCTTAATAATTTTTTAAGTAAAGCTTTAAAAAAAACTCTCAGACTTCACCTTGATGTTTCTCTATAACTGCACAAAATGTTAGGACAAAATTTTCAAATTCTGTCTGACATTCCACATACTAATCATGTACTAAGTTTTATATCATATAAAAATCATATATTAAGGAACATCAGCTTTATTTTAATAATTTAAATGAAAATAGGAAGCTCTGGAGATCAAGGAAAAGGGAATGAAACATTCATGCACAGTAACCAGACCCCTCATACACTGCTGGTGGGAAAGTAAAATGGTGCAGCTGCTTTGGAAAATAGTCTGGTAGTTGTTCAAAAGTCAGCAATTCTGACATGCACCCCAGTGTTCACAGCATAGCACTATTTACAACAGCCAAGACATGGAAGCAACCTGAATGTCCACTGACAAATGAATGGATATATATATATATACATATATATATATATATGTATGTATACATATACAATGGAACGTTACTCAGCCATAAAAAAGAATGAAATACTGCCATTTGCAGAAACATGGATGTACCTAGAGATTATCATACTAAGTGAAGTAAGTCAGACAAAGACAAGTATCATATGGTATCACTTATATGTGGAATCTAAAAAATGGTGCAAATTAACTTATTTACAAAACAGAAAGAGACTCATAGACACACAAAAAAACCTTATGGTTATCAAAGGAGAAGGAGGGGATAAATTAGGAGTTTGGGATTAACAGATACACACTACTATATATAAAACAGATAAACAACAAGGACCTACTGTATAGCACACGGAACTCTACTCAATATCTTGTAATAACCTATAATGGAAAAGAATCTGAAAAAGAATAGATATAGATATATGTATAACTGAATAACTATGCTGTACACCTGAAACTAACACAATGTTATAAAGCAACTATACTTCAATTAAAAAAAAAAAACCCTCCAGGAAAAAAAAAGTCAGCAATTCTGCACCTAGGTATAAACCCAAGAGAAATGAAAACCTTGCACACAAAGATTCATAAAAACAGTATTCACAATAGGCAAAAAGTGCAAACAACCCAAGTTTATCAACTGATGAAATGAATAAACACAACGTGGTATATCCACACAATGGAATATTATTCAGTCTTAAAAGGGAAGTTCTGACACATGCTACAACATGGATGAATCTTGAAAATATTACACTAAGTCACAGAAGACACATATTTTGAGTCCCTTTATATGAACTGTTCAAAATAAGCAAATTCATAGAAACAGAAAGTAGATTAGTGGTTCTGAGGGCCATGAGGATTGGGAGGAAGTAGGGAGTGACAGCTAATAGGTATGGGGTTTCTTTTGGGGTGATTAAAAGGTTCTAAAACTGATTTTGGTGATGGCTGCACAACTCGATAAATACAGTAACAACTATTAAACTGTACACATAAAAGGGTTGAATTGTATGTGAATTATACCATAATAAAGCTGTTTTTTTAAAAAAAATAAAACATTCACCATAACCACTTGTTTCAAAGTATCAGTGAGAGAAAGAATTACCTGTCACCGGAGGTGCAGAAAAAGACGGCATCAGGGGTGTCTGGGGAGCTCTTCCTGCATGTCCTCGTGTAATGTCATAGGCTGAGCCGACAGAGAATCCTGATGTGGGAGGGCCCGAAGCGGGGGCAGATAAGAGAGTGTTTGGGGCAGAAGTGGAAGGTGGGAAGTGGGATAAAGGAGGGTTACTGAAGGCAGCAGCAGTTGGTGGAGAAACATGAGGTGGTAAAGAGGTAATGAGTGGAGGACCAGAAGGAACCGGTGAAGGAGGCACAAAGGGCAAGGGTGGTGAAGGCCTCACAGGAGGCAGGGACTGCTGAGGGGTGGAGAACGTGTGTGGCGGCAGGGGCTGCACAGAGGACACGCTTGGAGAAGAGAAAGTGCTGGCTGCAGCTAGAAAAAGGAGGGCAGGAAAAAAATGCGTCAGTCAAATGTTTTGCACTTTCAAAGTGTCTCATTACTGTCTTCTTGGAAAATTTTTAAATTTAACAGACCCTATCCCAAGAGTTATTTTTAAATGTGTGATTTGAAATATATGACTATGACTGAGTGCAAATGACTTTCAACTCCGGTCAGTAAAAGCAGCAGATATGTAAAATTAAGTTATGGTATTGCAGACCTTTGTTATTTTTGTTTGTTTTGATGTGCTTTTAATAAAATAAAGCCGTTTTTTATCCCTGCTGATATGAGCATAAAACCTCACAATTTAAGGCTCAAACTTTGGTCAGAAGGTTAATCACCACAAAGTCACAGAACATTAGACAAAGCTAACACATACTTTTTAGGATATCTCTGTCATAACAAAGATGATTTCTAGTCAGTATGAACATAAAAAACTAAAGTTAAGATAAAGCAAAACATATATATTTTTTGTCTTCGGGCTTAAATTAAAAAAGGCTATCTCCCTTCATCCTGGCAAAGATTACAGAATTTTTAATATACAGGCACACCTCATTTTATGTTGCTCCGCTTTACAAATTGAAGGGTTGTGGCAACCCTGTGTCAAGCAAGTCTATCAGCACCATTCTTCCCAACAGTATTTGTTCTTTGTGTCTCTGTGTGACATTTTGGTAACTCTCACAACATTTCAAACTTTTTCATTATTATTGTATTTGTTATGGTGATCCGTGATCTTTGATGTTACTAATGCAAAAAGATGACAACTCGCTAAAAGCTCAGATGATGATCAGCATTTTTAAGCAATACTTTAGCAAGTTTTTACTTAAGGTACGTACATTCTTTTTTTAGACATAATATATTGCACACTTAATAGACTACAGTATAGCATAACCATAGTTTTTATATGCACTGGGAAACAAAAAAATTCATGTGACTCACTTTATTTCAATATTCACTTTATTGCAGTGGTCTGAAACTGAACTCACAGTATCTCTGAGGTATGCCTCTATGCTTTTTTTAAATGACTCTGAGAAAAGATAACAGTATCTTGACTATCCTCAAAACATACTGATGCTAGACAACTGCACGTACCTAAAGGGGCTGGGGGGGAAGACGGCTGTGCTGCTGTGGCAGCGACAGCCAGTCCCGCTGAATTTGGTGGAGGAGTCCCAGGTGGTGTTGTCTCTATTCCACTCTCTTCCATCATTTTTCTTCAATTATGATAAAACTGTAAAAATATTAAAATGTAATAAATATTACGCAGTAATAAAAAGTATATTTTTAAACCTTGTATAGTTAGAGAATAGTTTTTTAAAATAATCAACAGACAGATGTCTCTCCTTACTGTTTATAATGCCACTTATCTCCAGGTGAAGGGTCTGTCAAAATTCCTAAGAAAATAGTGTGAGAATATTTAATGTGCAAACAATCTGAGACATTTTCATACACCTACTCCATTACTGAGAAATAATTTTACGTTAACTAAGTAATTAATTACCCAATATATTTCAAATAGTAAATTACTAATTTAATTTCTGCCACATGAATGCATGGTAGATTTATATCTAGATTCCAGTCACTATTACTTTTAAAATAAAAATAAGTTATTTAAAATATTCTTGAAACACTTCCTCTCTCCTCATTACGCAGTGTACGAGGGCTACTCCTGTTAACAGTAAAAAAAAATTTTTTACTGTGCTTGATTCCCAGGTTTTCTTAGTTTACATTCTAAAATGTGCCCCATAATGGCTAAATGATATGTCTCGGGTTTTAGAAAAGTTAACTGTAGCAAAAATGCCACTAGATAGCATTTCAACCTAACAGTCAAAAATGGGTTACAAAATGTGGGAAAACTTCCTTAAAAATTACAAATTTTCAAGCCTGCCTCAAGTATAAAATCAAAACTTCTAAACCTACCAAATAAGTTTTTGAAGTTTTTACTCATTTAACAAATATTCAGTAACGGTCAACCACTTGCCAAGCACTATACTGGTGCCTCTGGAAATACAGTGTAAGCAAAACAAACGGGATACTTAAAAGTCCAGTCCGGGAGACAGTCAAACAATAACAGCAACATCAATGAACCACAGCCTGAATGATGTGCTCTGAGAGCAAGAACAGTTCTGCTCACTGGAAATACGGTTTTGACTTGCGGACAGAAAAGGGTTCCCCAAGGAAGTCACATATAAGCTGAGATCTGAGGGACGATCAGAATTTAATTAGGCAAGGGAAAGGAGCTAAAGAGGGCATATGCCAGAAAAAGTGAATATAGAGAAGGTATAAAGGCCCTGGAAGGTTGAGGGACACTGACACATTCAAGAAAATGCATGCAGCAGAAAGGAATAATGAGGACTGGAGACATGGAGAGGAACTCAGACTGTGCTGACACGTATAAGCCAAATTAAAGAGTTGGGTCTTTTAAGAACAGAAAGTCACTGCGGGGCGTTCAAACTGGGAATGATATATTGGGTCTTTTCACTTTTTTGAAGAAATTTCAGATTCACAAGAAGATGCCAAAATACAGCAGACTTCATGAGTACCTTAAACCCAGTTTCTGCCAATGATGGCATCCTACGTAACTAGACTACGGTGATAAAACCCAGGAAATTAACACTGGCACAATGCGAGTAACTGAACTACAGACCTTATTTGGATTTCACCTGTTTTTACATTCACGTGTGTGTGTGTGTGTGTGTGTGTGTGTGTGTGTAGTTCTATGAAGTTTCTTCATATGCACTGACTCAGGTAGTTACCACCACAATCAGGACACAGAACTGTTCCATCACCCCAAAGAAACTCCCACATGCTGCTCCTTGGTCACACCCTCTCATCAACCATAACCTCTGGCAACCAACTGTTCTCTACCATTTTCTCATTTCATGAATCTTACGTAAATAGAATCATACAGCACACAACTTTTTGAGATTGGCTTTTTTCTCTCAACAGAATGCTCTTAAGATCCATCCAAATTGTTGGATATATCAATGGTTGGTTCTTTATTGCTGAAGAGTATTCCATTTTATAGTTGTACCACTGTTTGCTTATCCATTTATCTGTTGAAGGACATTTAGGCTGATTCCAGCTTTTGGCAATTCATATTTGTGTTTTGGAAAAATTCCTGACCACAGTATGCAGTTTGTGCCATAGGGCAGTCAGAGTAGATGCAGAGAGACCATTAAGAAGGATACAGAAGTACTTCAAATAACATCCTAGGTTAGTGATTCTCAAATGGGGAGTGGAGGAGGGTGATTCTGCCCCTCTCCCCCGCAACGGTCATTTGGCAATGTCTGGAGACATATTTGGTTGTCAGAACTCAGGGGGTATTACTGGCATCTAGTAGGTAAAGGCTGGGGATACTGCTAAAAATCCTACAATGCACAGGACGGCCCCCACAAGAAAGAGTTATCTGGCCCCAGACTAAGGTGATGATAGTGGAGATGGAGAGAGTGGACAGACTCAAGAAATGTTTAGGTGGTTAACACTCAGTGATAGACTGGATATGGGGTCCAGGAGGGAGAGAGGCATGACTTGCACAACTGGCGAGATGGTGGTGCCATTCAGTAAGACAGGGAACACTGGAGGAGGTCAAGGTGTATGTCTGACATCTTGGGAGAGGAGGGATTATGCAGTATTTAATACTGGACATGCTAAGTTCAAGCTCCTTGAAACGTCCAAGTACCGGTGACTTGGTCTGCAGCTCAGCAACCACATAAATGTGGGCTTCATCAGTTTACTGATAGTCTCTAAAGTCATGCACTGGAAAGAGATTATATGAGAAGACCAGAAGAAAAAAGAAGATGGCCCAACGAACCCTTGAAGAAGAGCCCAGGAGAAAAAAAAAAAAAGCCTGCAGAGAAGAATGAAAGACCAGAAAGATAGGAAGAAAACCAGGAGGCTGTGGTGTATCCAAAAGCCAGAGAAGAGTGTTTCAAGGTAGGAATGGGCAACAGTATCAAATGCTACAGAAAAGATAAATAGGATGATATATGAAAAAGTCAACAGATTTGCCAAACTGGAGATAAAACTTAGTGAGAGCCGTTTCCATAGAAGGAGTGTGGATAGAAGCCAATTTCAACTGGACTGAGGTGTGAGATGAAGCAAATACGTACAACACTTTCAAAAAGTTCTGTTGTGAATGCAGAGGAAAGACCTATGGCAGTAGTAGGAAACAGGTATCCAGGGAAGCAAAATCCTTTCATTCAATACCTACAGACGAAGACAATCAGGGACAGAATGGCCTTCTGGGGACTTTAATCACTTCCTGACAAAGCTACTCCTTTTCTTCATCTCATTTTTCCACTGGTAATTCACCTTCCTCCTACAGATGCTACCAATTCTCACAGTAATTAGTAGAAATCATATTTAAACATAAATATTAATGAATGCATTTGCAAAAGAACCTGTACAATGAATACAACCCATAAAATGGAATAATTGGTCAATTTCTTTCTGTCTTTAAAAGCCATACTATTTGAGAATTGGCTTAATGACAATATTGGGTAAATTTTGGATGCATAAACATAATACCTAAAGAAAAGCTCTTGTGATAAAAGTAACAGCAAATTATGCATAAAAAAGTAACAGCATAATTATGCATAAACATAATACCTAAAGAAAAGCTCTTGTGATAAAAGTAACAGCAAAATGTCAGAGCTGGTAAAGGTTCTAGTGCTCATTCTCGACACAAAAAGGATATTAATGTATCAGCATTAAAGAAAAAGTGATGGAAATGGCTTGGAAAATTGAGTCCCTCAGTCTCTGGACCGACCCTGATCTTCCAATTTGCTTATGTCTTGGTTCTTCAGTTAAAAAGTAGGTGACTACTTATAAAGATACAAGAAAAGGTTTGATAAACGTAAAAGCTTGTTAAAAGCGATTATTATTGTTGATTACCGGTTCAAAAGATAATCTCTACTACCCTTTAGTGAGCACTGCTACAGGAAGGTCTGAGTTTTGTCTCTGCATTCCCACTTCTTATCCCAAAATAACTTCCACAAACGTTCACTGACAAAATAGCAGCTGTACAGGGAAAAGACTGGAATGCCAAAATGCGTCACGTTCGCAGAAATCTACACGTTGTCTCTTAAAATAACTACTTGGAATGACAAAAACTCTCTTGGACTGGACAAATTCTGCCAATCTAGAGAACAGGCTATCCGGCAAACTTGCCCGAAGCAGTTCCCAGGAACGAACAAAGAGACAGCACAGGGCAAAAGCCCTCTGGAGCGGCGCTAGGCACCGATGGGGGAACCCACGGGAAAGGGCTACATCCCATTGCCCGTCCCCATTTGTTGACCTAGGAGTCTCCCAGGCGGTAGCGGCCTCCCCCCAAGCTCTGCCACGTCTCCAGGCGGGGCTGGGCCGAGCTAAGGTCAATGGGCTCCTGCCTCCTTATCTCCCCTCCGGCCAGCGCGGTGGAAGGTGGAGCCAAACAGCCCGGGGCGCCGGCGTCGGTCCCGGAACTGGAGCAAAGTGCCGGATAAGACCCCCGGGCCGCACCCACCGTGTAAGCCGCGGCGGGAACGGCTTGCCTCTCGAAGCGCACCCTGAACCCTGCATGCACCCACGGCCCGCGCCCGGACTGCACGACGGCGGAACTCGCAAACTACCCTCGCTCTCAGGGCGCCTGCCGGCCCGCCCACCTCGCACCACGGCGCCCCTGGGCGCCGGTTTGGGAGCCCGCATCCCGTCCGGCCGCCCGCATGCACCCGCGTTACTCCCAGGCTGACGCTCACCTGCGGGCCGGAGAGAGTGTCTGCGTGGCAGTGAAAAGCGGGGACTACAGAGGCTGAGCTGTAGGACTACGACTACGAGATGACGAGCAAGACGCAGGCAACCGCTCGCCGCGCACGCCCCCGCCTCCAAGATGGCCACCGTAGGTGCACTTCCCTGCGCTGCCACGTCGGCCGCGCGCCGCCCCGCCCCGCGCCCCGCCCCGTCTCGCTAGCCCGGAGCCCCGACCCGTGGCCGCAAATTTAACCTGTTTGAGTACTTGGGGCCAAAGATCTTCCTGCCCGCAGGGCTGGGTGCTGCCCAGCTCTAGGAGCATTCTCCAGCAGGGCTGCCCAACTTTCCACGCCGCAACCTCCGTACGCGAGAATGGAACCCTTGTTACCGGATGTAGCTCACTTACTCTGTGCCGTGGCCGCCCGCGGGGATGACGATGAACCAGCCCGGGTCGTCCAGTCCAGTCCCCGCCTCCAGAAAGGACCTTGCTCCGGAAACAG